TGGCCTTCGTCCTCACCACGGGCCAGCGAATGATGTGTTTTCGAGCGGCTCCCTTGTTGTTACCACTTTACGATTCTTTCTTTCTTTCTTTCTTTCTTTCTTTTTTCTTTTTTTCCTTTTTTTATTTTTCCTTTTTTTATTTTGGTTAGCTTTTTAGCTTATAGATTCTTCTCGGTAACCGTCGGATAGGCGCACTAAGCGTATGGATGGAGTAGGAAGCTTTCGTTGGAAGCATTCTAAACAGGGTTGAGCGGTGACTATATTAGGATTTAGTGACGGTAGAACTATTCATCGGCCTATCAGACGATAACCGGCTCCGGTAGTACTTGGAACGAGCGGCGATCCGGTTTTGCGGGAGAATTTTGCGTTGCGGTGGGCGGCATGAATTTTTTCGCCGAGTGGGACCAGGAGGAGGAACGACTTGAGCAGGAGAAAGTGGTAACTCTCCTGGTGTGAGGCGCACCTGTGATCCCGTCCTCCCTGCGCTCCGGTCGTTCACCATGCAGTGCGAAGCGACTTGCCCCGCCGCGATCACCATGCCCCGCTACCACCCCCGCTCGACTACGCTTAGCGCATACCTGGCTCTCGTGCTTTTTTTCGCCCTGCTTCCCAACCTTGCGGTGGCGGGTCTGCTCTTCGCCGCCTGCCTCTCCGAAACGGTGCTCCTGCGTGCTTCGACCAAGGGTTTTGCCTCACTCATTGCCGCCACCATCTGCTTTGTGTCGCTCTTTCTTGCCGGCTGCCTTTGCCTGTGCTTTCTGCTTGCTGATTTGGGTTGGCTGGAGGTGTTTGGATAGCGCGTGAGGGCAATAATGGAGGCCAAGATGGCAGCAGGGACATCTTCGCACGTTTTTTTGGCTTAAAGTTTTCTCTCCTTTTTATCGTTTCTCTCCTTTCTCTACTTCATCTACAATCTCCCCCCTTCTCCCCCTCCGCTCGGGTTTTGCCCCCCTTCCCCTCCCTACCCCCATCCCGAACCTTCACCCCCCTCCCCCCACCCACCATCCCCTTCTTTTTTCCCCCCCTCGTGCTCCTCCTCCCCCACCTCGTCCCCCAGGAGATGCCCCCCCTCTGATGACGCTCCAAGTGACGTGGGGTAGAAAAGCGCTTCAGGGATTTGCCACACCCTCCCTGCAATCTGGCGAGATGGTCTGTGCGGATGCAGGAGCACGTAGGACCTGGAGGACAGAGCTAGAGCAGGGCTTCTTCTTTTCTTTTTTTCTTCCTTTGTCCTTCTCCCTTCCCTTCCTACGAGAACCTCCCCCCGTCTATGGTCCGTCTATCTTCCTTTTTTTCCTTCTTTTCGTTTCTTCGGTCTACGAACAGACTCGGATCTCAGCAACAAAACAGGGCGTGGTATGTTGTGGCGTCAGCATTTTTTTCGCTTTATAAAGTTGCGCTTACTGTTGCTGATTGTATCAATGGTTTGTTTTTTTTGCGTATACAATGAATGGTTTTATCAAATGCCTGCACACCTGGTTTCGATAATACTTCCCTCTTCCTTTTTTCCCTCTCTTCTTCTCTCCATCCCTCTTCTTGCCGCTTCCTCACTTCTCTTCTTATCCTTCCTCTTTGTCTTCGGCTTCTCCGTTTTCTTCCTCTTTATCACCTTCATCTCCCTCTTCCTCACTTCCGCACCTTTCCCCTCGCCCCTCTTCCTCGTCCTTTTTCCCTCGCCCCTATCTCCTCTTCTCCTCCCTTCCGAACATCTCCATGCGTCTCTCCCTTCGTTTTGTACTTCCGTTTGAGCCACTGGAATGTTGGGGTATGAGTACTTGAAATGGTTTTTCGAGAATTGGAATCGTTTTTCTTTCTTTTCATTTTTCTTTTTTCTTTTTTCTTTGTCTTTTTTCTTTGCCCCCTTTTTTTCCCCCCCTTTTTTTCCTTTTTTCTTTTGCAAAAGCATACTAATGGAATGAGCGCTTGCGGATGTATGGACGCGCCCTGAACAGCGGATTCCCATCGCCCCCCTCGCTTTCGTCCTGCGCTACTGTCGCCTGCCTATCCTCCTTTGGCAAAACGGCTTATACCACAACTGGGCATACAAATGGGCTTTACCCTGCCGCGTTTGAAATCGCCTCCGCGCTTTGCATCCTGCCCCCAGTGTGCCAACAGTTGAGGTCGGAGTTGTACAGATATGAAGTATTGTACACGTACGTCTCTCATGTGACATGCACATGCTACACACTAAGGAGGACGAGTGTCCTCGATCGGCGCTGTTGGGGGGTGCCCTCCCCAACCGCACTGTGGGCCCCACCATTATGATGCTCCTTGTGCGCCGTCGCGTGGACTAGGGTGATAGTCGTGGCCATAGGGTTAGCCTGAGGTTGTCTGAGCGTTGGAAGGGTGACGATTGAAAATTGTTGAGAAAACGGAGAAAGTGAGCCGCGATGTTTGCAGTGGAAAATTACAAAAGTCTGGGTAATGGTGAATTTGCCTTGATGCCAGCTCCGTCTCTGTTTTTTGGAATGATCTTGTTAACGTGTTATGTTCGTGTTCTTCCCTTGTTGTGTCCCCAACTGTTGTATTTCCAATCCCTCACTGGTATTTCCCTCGTGAACCTGTCCCCCCTCCCCCCTCCCCCTCTGCCCCCACCCCCGCCCACCAGATCCTATGTATACCCCTCCCAAATGTTGACGTCCGCACTCCTCCTTTCACCGCACATCCCTCTCCTCCTCGTCTACCTCTTCCCGATTCCGTTTTTTTAAATCTTTTTCGCGGATATTACCGGCTGAACACCCCCTTCGCTAATCCGTTTTTCCCACCATCGCTCATCTCGCCTGCAGCCTCCCCTCAAGGAGGCGTTTCCTGGGGGCTGGTGGAATGAAATCACACACCGCTTCCCGTGGTTGAGGGAATGTGCGCCCCCTGCTAGGCCTACGCAGGCGCTATTCACGTGTGTTAATCCGGGGGTCGTCGATGCAATCAAGGGGAAATGGGATTCCGGCAACTACCCTCATTTTTTTGAGATGATAGGTTTTAGCGATCTCGTCGTTCTTGTCGGAGCATGGGAGCGTAGTAGGAATGATTTCGCTGATGAGCTGGGAACCCTTTGTGAGAAGCTCGAATTGAGAAAGCGCGAATACATGAAGGAATGCAGGGAGCTCGGAGGAAGGGCGGCGAGGGTCGAACAGATCTTCCTCAACATCTGGGGGGTGGATGACTCACACCTGGAGGGTCGTGTACTTGCCGTACATGCTCATAACTCCCCTAACCCCTAGAACACCCCCACGGGGCGATGCGACGATCTTGCGATCGAAGAAGAAGAGAGGGCGGAGATTGAGCAAGCAATTGCTGCCATTACAGCCGCCATGCAGGACTCCCCGCTCATGTCAAGTAGGGGTAACGCTGATGCTTCTGAGCGCGACCTGTACACGGCCTTTGCCCCGCTTGCATCTGCGTGCTGGATCGAACATACGTCCACGGGTTTAGGCACGCTATTTGGAAGATGGATACCTTCAACCATCTTGCACCAATCTCTATCCGAGCACTTCAGTTTTTAGGCAACGTCAACGATGAACAGGTCAAGCTCTGCAGGGTACAGATACTGAAGGGCAAGCTGAAGTATTGTGGGAAAGTCAACCCACTGGATCCGCAGGACCTGAAATTTCCCCCTATGCGCGAATTGGACCCGGATAAGTGCGGAGAAACTAATTCGGGAATGTGGCAGAAGGGTATTAGGCAGGAAGGGAAGACCGATCTAAGGACCCTCAGAAAGATTTGGAGTGTGGGGAGGCCATACCTGAAGTGCAAATGTAAGAAGGAGAGGAATAGGGATTGTGGGGACACCCCTCTCTGGTTCGATCACGCCATCAGGTTCCTATTAGCACATCGTGACGTCCTGTTTGCGACTTTGTCATCAATCAAGGTGCGCACTTCGATGCTCATTCACTATCTCCGAACCACCTAGAGGGACGGGGCGCTAGCCGCCATCGGATTCCACTTTCTCAGGGATCTGATGATGGGAATCGTGAAGGAGCTTGAGGCGGATGGGACCTTGAATGTGGAAGGCGTGCTCAAGGAGGACCGCCTCTGGAGCTACCCGATTCCCGCCATGCTGGCGCGCATCATGCTCCCCACCCGGATTCCCGAGAGACCATCGAGGGTTCCACTCAGCTCTCCACAAGCTGTGGCACAGAAACGAGGCAGCGCGACACAGATTCCTGGGCAGACCACTCTCAACTTTAGAAGGGCCCAGCCCGCAAATGATGCCCCTCCGGCTCCTCCTCCCCCTCCTCCTCCTCCTCCTCCTCCTCCCCCTCCTCCTCCTTCCCCCCGGCAGCGACCCGTGGCTGCGGCCACCGGCATCGGCCCGCCAGGTGGCGCCCCCTTACCGAGAGACCTTGCTGACGAGACCCCTCCATCGGGAGGCCAGCAGGTGGCCCCATCATCAACCACTTGAATGCCTGTACTCACCTCACCGCTCCCTTCTGTTCAACGCCCTCAAATGATTATCAGAGGTCTCACTCCCCCACCGGTAATCCACATGTAGTCGGGCGACTCTGCTCAATCAATGCTCACCCACCCTGCGAGGAAGAACAGGAAGAACGCCGGCGGAAGAGGCAGGGGCAGGGGTGGCATTGCCGCTAGCAGACGCTTGGCAAGAGCCTAGGCCGGCGATACTACTCCGTTCCTCTCTCTCGCCCCCCTCCGCTCCCTTTGTTTCTCCCCCCTGACACATGTCCGATTATTTTCTAATTATTTCTCAATCGCCACCTGAGCTGGTACCTTTACCGTTACACCTGCGTGGCCGATCGGTTTTCTGCACTGGTGCATCACTTCACCATGGTGATTTCTTTTTTTACCCCCCTGACACATACTCTGTGTCCTGTACTATTGTGTATTGCTGCGCAGGATCCGAGCGAATGGGTGAACGCTCCGGGCCTGATGATCACGCTCCCTAATGGTAGGAGGGCATGGGAGAGGCAGAAATCTAACTGCGACACATTCCTGCACGTGAAGTACACTAGTCGCGTAATGGAACCACTTTCTGTCAGGAGGCTGGTGAATGAGGTGCTCAGCAAGGTGATCGGCGATGATACGGCAACTTGGCAAGAGCGCACCAGGATCGGTTGGACTTATAATCCTAAAATAGCCTCCAAGTTGTGCAGGCCGGCGGAGACATTCTGCTAGTTCGACGTGGCGCAGTGGATGGAAAGCTTCCATCCGGAGCAGTGTCCTTGCAGGTCACGGAGATACATGGACATGCGCAGCAATTGGTCGATTGAGTTGCTCGAGAATGAGGGTTGCACGCACGTTATTACGGTGGACTCATCAATCACGGATAGCCCGCTTCTGCAGGGCATCATCAGGGCTGGCCTCAACCATATCCCGTGCATGGCCTTGGATGTGGAGGAGGCGAGCGTCGAGCTGGGGAACTGTCTGGACGAACTATTCGCACGGGTAATGGAGCTGAGCGACCTCAATGCCTCTACCAAGTCGTTTCTTCGAAGGGTCATTATGAAGAAAGCGAAGGCAAAGATGGAGAAGTACAAAGCAAAGCACAGGCATGTTGCTGCCGAACCGTTCGAGCACCCGGCTGTCAAGAGGGAGCTGAAATTCATAACGGGCAGATTCCTTATCTGGCCCACAGACAAGGCGCCCAACACTCCGGCCTTTGTGTGCAAGAACTTCGTGCGGAAGCTAGCATTCCAGAGGCTCTCCGGTCCCGAATTCGCCAGCATCAGCGTACCGCCTGCGGTCGTCATCGCACGTATACGTGGCGAACTCTCTGCTCTGCCCGCGCTCCCCACCGTGCCAGCAGCACTCCCGTACCTCATGACGGTTCTCAAAGCACACAAGGGGACTTTCCGTTGGATCACAAACACTGCCAACACCATCATCTCCCCTGCCGCGGAGGTCTGTGCCTGTTTGCGGAGGTTCCTGCTTCCGCTGGCGCAGGTCTTTTGTCAAGAGAGAAGCTTGGAAGTGGAGGAGCGGTATAGAGTCAGGCCAAATCTCTGGTGGGCCATAGCCTCGGTGGGCGAATTCCATGCTAACCTTCCAGAGAAGGTTTACTCGGTGTTTACGGCCGACATCACCAGATGCTTCGAGACTATCCCTACGGACGGTTCGGAGGAGAGTCTTCCCGCGGCGGTCAGGTTTTACGTACAGTGCGTGATGCAAATTCGAAGGGAGAGAAGTTCCTGCCATGCCATCCGCATCAGGTTTGGACAGCATGGCGGGATATGGCCTTCATGGGAGGACAATGAGCAACCGGAGGAGGAGGGTACGCTGCTATTCAGGGAACGTGACATTTGCTGGCTCTCGGACTGGTGTGTGGCCAATAGCGTATTGCGCATGGGGGACTACGTTTGGAGGCAGGTGAAGGGGATTCCTATGGGACTGGCTTGCTCCCCGATCTGGTGTGATATATACTTTTTTAAGTATGAATATCACGCCATGATGAGGTTGGCGGATACCGGGAATGCCCATCTGATCCCGTGCTTTGATTGCACGTTCAGATACATTGACGACCTGGGGGCAATCAACAATGCTGTCATCGGCAGTTTTTTGCGCAAGAAGGGCGAAAGAGAGGCGGGGGACCCATGCTGGATCTACCCGGAGGACTTCATCGAGATCAAGGAGAACACGGCGCTGAAGGAGGAAGGGTGCGGTCGCATTGCTAACTTCCTCAGTCTCACCATCACGGTCACCTCCCCGATCGCGGGATCCTACGCAACCAAAAGGCATGATAAGCGCAGCGGACTGGGCTTTTCTCCGTGCCAATTCATCAGGTATAAGTCCAACAGGAGTGTCAAGCAGTTGCTTTAGATCATCACTGCGTAGGTTGCGCAGATCCTCCTACTCTGTTCAGAACCAGAAGACGCTGCCAACGAGATTGCGAAGGTGGTTGCAGCAATGGAGGAGAATGGTTTCGCCAACGACTCCTGCTGGAGAGTAGTTAAGAAGACCCTGCGGAATATCCACCTCTACCAACCGGGCAAGTTGTCTGTGCATGTGATTTGAGAGGCTTTGACTAATCTTCACGCGTTTATGGACTAACCAATGTATCTGTGTCTGTGTTTGTGTAGGTGCGTGGTTGTGTGTGTTCGGTGTCCGGGGGATGGTTGGACCTAAGGGGTCGGTTGTTCTCCGGGCAGCCGGATCCCTCGGTCCCAGACATCCCTTGGAGGGAACGCGATGGGTCACACACACACACACACACACACACACATACACACACGCGCGCGCGCGCATATGACTATAAACGCGATGACGGGATGGGCGAAAGGCTGATGGCGGAAGGGTCGCCCCCGCGAAAACACGAACCCCCCTTGCTTCAGTTTTTTTTCTTTTTTTTTCTTTTTTTCCCCCTTTTTTTCTTCTTTTCTTCTTTTTTCTTTTTGCTTTTTTTTATCTTTTTCTTTTTCCTTTTTCTTTTTCCTTTTTCTTTTTCCTTTTTCTTTTCCTTTTTCTTTTCTCCAGTTTTCGCCTTTTTTTCACCTTTTTCTCTGTTTTTCCGTTTTTCTGATAATAAGTGCCCCGGCAACGGTGAGCCCCTTTGGATAGACCAATAGGTATCCTGAAACCCTGGGGTTTTCGCTTCCCACGACCCAGCTCACCACGGGCCAGCGAACGATGTGCTTTCGAGCGGCTCCCTTGTTGTTACCACTTTACGATTCTTTCTTTCTTTCTTTCTTTTCTTTTTTTTTCCTTTTTTTTTTTTTCCTTTTTTTCTTTTGGTGAGCTTTTTAGCTTAAAGATTCTTCTCGGTAACCGTCGGATAGGCGCACTAAGCGTATGGATGGAGTAGGAAGCTTTCGTTGGAAGCATGCTAAACAGGGCTGAGCGGTGACTATATTAGGATTTAGTGACGGTAGAACTATTCATCGGCCTATCAGACGATAACCGGCTCCGGTAGTACTTGGAACGAGCGACGATTCGGTTTTGCAGGAGAATTTTGCGTTGCGGTGGGCGGAATGGATTTTTTTGCTAAGTGGGACCAGGAGGAGGAACGACTTGAGCAGGAGGAAGTGGTAACGCTCCTGGTGTCAGGCGCACCTGTGATCCCGTCCCCCTGCGCTCCAAACGTTCGCCATGCAGTGCGAAGCGACTTGCCCCGTCGCGATCACCATGTCCCGCTACCGCCCCCGCTCGCCAACGCTTAGCGCATACCTAGCTCTCGTGCTTTTTTTCGCCCTGCTTCCCAACCTTGCGGTGGCGGGTCTGCTCTTCGCCGCCTGCCTCTCCGAAACGGTGCTCCTGCATGCTTCGACCAAGGGTTTTGCCTCGCTCATTGCCGCTACCATCCGCTTCGTGTCGCTCTTTCTTGCCGGTTGCCTTTGCTTGTGCTTTCTCCTTGCTGATTTGGGTTGGCTGGAGGAGGTGTTTGGATGGATAGCGCGTGAGGGCAATAATGGAGGCCAAGATGGCAGCAGGGACATCTTCGCACGTTTTTTTGGTTTTTCTCTCCTTTTTATCGTTTCTCTCCTTTCTCTACTTCATCTACTCTCTCCCCCCTTCTCCCCCTCCGCTCAGGTCTTGGCCCCCTTCCCTTCCCTACCTCCATTCTGAATCTTCACCCCTCTCTCCCCCCTTCCCCCCCTCC